CCCCAAAACCCCAAAACCCCATAGCTGCTAATTTATATTTAAATTGATAATATAAATCTTTAGAATAATATAAATTTAATATTGCAAATATAAAGTCTTCATAATTTTTTAATTTATTTTCATTGAGTAGTTCTCATATCTTAGGTATTATTATTATTAGTATTAGAGTTATTAACATTTTAGCTTAGTCGTCTATTAATTTGGAATCTTTTAACAATTTATGACAGGCTTCTTTCTTTTTATTCGTAATCTCCCATCAAATTGCTGAAGAAATTATCCTATAAATGCTTTCTTGTAGGTAATTAATCCCATTACCCCTTAAATGGAGAGTTACTTATTCCTGATTAAGACATACTATTGTCAGGATGCTATTCATCATCTCTGCTTTCCTCAGATGGTATAAATAATTCTGATTAATTCCTGCTAAAATCTTTTGAATGATTGTCTCTATAAGATCCTTTATCTGATTCTTCAAATATATCTGTCTTGTACGGATTGAGTGTTTAATCTAGTCCAGCAGTCATGCTGACCTCTGCATTAGTTAAAATATTTGTATTTGTTTAATTTAAATCATTTCCATTTTAGCTCTTATTAAATTATATTTTCTTTTGCAAAGCTTCTTTTTTAGCAATAGTCCTCTTTTTACACCAGTTCTTAATTTTTAACCTTAGTAATTTAAAGGACTTAACAACATCTTTTGCCGAAAATATGAAAATAATCACAATGTTAAGTGCTAGATTAAAAATCGTCAAATATATTAGTATAGATCCAAAAAACCATTTCAAATCATAATCAGTAATCATATCAGTAAAAAGCATATATAGGTAAAGGCTAACTAATGTACAATACTCGTTAAATGATTCTATCATATTATGATGCTTTCCCTCTAATGGTTTTGCAAGCATAAAATATATCATTATCAAAAGCGAGAAAATCATTTGGCATATAATTTATACCCCACACGATTAATCAAAGTAAACCATAATGGCAGAAAATATTAATCTTCTATAAATAAAAAAGCAGCAGTTCATTAACGAAATCATTGAATCAATTCTACATCCCTCATATAGGGAACCATAGTTTTTGACACTATAAGGATCGCTTAACTTTTTTTTCATTTTTACAATGAAAATATTGGAGATTAGAGGAAAAATGACAACAATAAATAACGTTAGGTAAGTTGAAAGTGAATTGATAATATCACTTCTAGAAGTAAAGTTAATCTAAATCAAGTTATTGAGATTAATTTAATTACAAAGTACAAATTTATCATTGAACAAAGAGCCAGTTCTAAATAACTTTCTAGTAGGAATCTTATGAAAAAGTTCAAATAAAATATATTCATCAGCCAGATGTAGCACTTCTTAATTCTAAATGAATAAAATGTAGCAAATTACATTATAGAAATATTGCTGAGCGGTTTCAATGATAAGATAAACAGTATAATGGCTATCTTTAATACCAAAAACAAAGATATAGTACCAAGATTATCAATCATTTACATTGATGAATATCCCATTTACTCAAAATTCTCATTGTAAGCTCGCAACTCCTGATTGCTGTTTCCAAGAAACCATTAAAATATAGCTTCTGCAGGGAGTATATCAAAATTAGAAAGGCTTATTGCAACTGAGTAAAATATTTGTACATTAACAGGATTGATGACACTTATTAATGGTAAGTGAGCTAGGATCTAGAATGAATTTACTAATCCCCATAAATACTAGATAGAAGCTGATCTATATTGAAGTTCAAAAAAATAATGTAAACTAACACGACAATTGATAAGATAAGATTTCCAATCATTGCAGTGTTACCTACTAATTGCATCAAATCTGCCATCATTTATACTTGTTATGCCTACCCTATTGAATTTAAAAAGTTTTTATTTTACATTCACTTATTTGTAATGGTATTTACTTGGAAATAGTGTAGCCAAATGGAAGTATTTACTGTAAACTCTCATCTGGCAGATAATGAGAATACTTAAATGTAACATACAAATCATCTTTGTTCTATGAAATAATTATAGCCATCTAAATTTACTGAAGTTTTAGATATTTCTTTAATATCTTTAAATATCAATTGAACAGTCATGATATCACCATTTAATGATGTTATATAAAATCTGACAGGCTCTTCATCTTAAGATTATGAAAACTTAACTTTAATTTTGATAATGTCATAGTAGTAGTCCAAGGCTGATTAATTAGTCCTATTGAAATCTGAGCTTAAGTAAGAAATATTAACATTATTGAAAATCTTTTTTGAAAATTAGATCTTCATTGCACCTGTTTGATTGATCTTGATTATTTTAGCAGTAAGCAATTCACTAGAATTTGACTACCATTGTTTTATAACTGATAGAGTCGATCCTTTAGGAGGACGGATTGTTACTCTAAATTGGAATGTTTTTTATTTCTGGTTATAATTCTTGTCAGTTAGTTTTATTTATATTGTGTAACTTTTAACATGATCAACAAGTGGATAAAAAAAGAAAGTTCTCCCTTCCTACTTAACAAACTAAAATTCTTCTCCTTTGATGTATTCAGAATCATATTCATCTTATTGATTATCAATTATATCAGGTAAAGTGTATTATTTATTTTCTAAAGGGTACATTTCAATATTCTAAAGTGGCATAGCAAAGTATGGTGCAGAATTTGCTCTACCTTTTTCTACTATCTTAATTGTATAATTAGCAACAGCACTTGTATAGTTATACCCTAATACAGAAATCGTATATATTCCTAGCATTGATCCTGGGATAGAATTAGTTTTCAACTAAATTTGAAACTTAGTGGTTACATTTAAAGAGTCATATGATACATTACCTCCAATCCAATCATTGTACTCACTTTTATCAAGGACATATCCATATTCATTAATGACAGACATAATAAAATAACTCTTTTGGCAATTATAATTCAGCTTATCTTTGAATAGTGGCACATTAAAGTAATGAGTTCCAGTTAGAAAATATCTTGAATATTATTAGTTACCTGAACTTAAAGTTTAAGATATATTACATCTATGCATTAAGAAGCAACTGATATTTAGAATAATAAGGGAATAACGAAGCTGGTAACAAAGGATTTACTTTAATAGGTATCTCAGTAAAATTTATAAAAGCTAAATTTTAAGGTCTATCTTTATACCAAGCCCATGATGAATGCTCGTAAATATTTGACCATATTTAAACACTAGTTGAACCATTGAACGAGCAATCAGTATTTGGAAAGTAGTAGGGGCCAAGAGTTATATTGCATAATAACTCTGTAAAGCAAATGAAGTAGTTGCTTGCATTTACTGATGCACTTAATTTTGGATGATCATTACAAGCACGTTGTACATGGTAAAAAACTCTGTGTTCAACAGTAATATTACTAGTGCTTATTTAACTACCCTGACTATTCTTAGCATTCTTTTTTTAAACTTAAACATTAAAGTCTAAGCCTGTACCTTAGTAAAGTTGTATTAAATCCTTAAATTCATACTATTTAATAGTCCCACCGTTTTCATACTGATGGAAATTCAAGTACTTACAAGATTATTTTGATTCAAAAAATTCCGAAACAAATGCATTATTAGTTGTTGAACCTAAAATGTTATGAAGATAGCCCCCTAAAATTAGCTATGAATTATACATCTTAAACTTTTCAATAGCCACCTTGTTATAAGGATTGATATAAATGTAGTTGAGCTTGATTTCAAATCTTTATGGATTAGTAATATCTAGAATTACAATATACCAAGCATCAATAGTATCATCATTAAGTATTCTTCCTCCCAACCAGAATTTATAGTTTTTTTCTCCATAGATAAATGCCCCGTGAGTTTTATTGAATAGTACCATATGTTAAATATAAAGTATATCATACATTCTTCCTTAGAATACATGAACATTTATCGTTTTAGTAGCTGTTGAATATGATAGTTCAAATATGCCTATGGATGTAGTGTCATTTGAATGAGGAGGTCCAATCACCCCAATAACTCTATCAAATCCACATGTCATAGATATGTAGTTTGTTTCTCTATTAAAATATCCTGAAATATCGTTAAACTTCTAGTATACATATTAAACATCTAAATTTTATGTGTCTAACTGGGTTATTATCATTTCATTATCATAAGTTAAAGACCCAATAAATGCTAACTATTTGCCAGGTAGAATACAGCCTTCATATGTCCATCCTCCACTGTTCTTTAGGCTATATTCTATTACTTTTTTGTCATCTTTCAATGAAAAAGCTCCGAACATTTCTTTATTTTTGCAATCATTGCTTTTTTAACCTCCCTAATCTTAACAATAAAATGCTAAGAATACTTGATGATTGTTATTGAAGAAAAAACGAAAACTTGAATTAACCGTATAATCATCGAGATCAACAACATTTAAAACTGTTCCATCACTTGATTAAAACCTTGCAAGTTTTGATTTCTTGCTGAAATAGACGTAGAAATATGTTGAATCATAAATCTATAGCTAACTCACAATGTATTCATCAGGTGTTAGTACTGACCACAAAATATTTAAGGGATCTGTTATTATCGTAAAGTCATACTTATAGATTTAAGATTGCCTTAATGAATCTACACTTGAACTAAATATTATTTGATTTCCCAAAAAATCTAGATTGTTTTTTTTTACAAAAAATATACATACCAAAATCATTAAAGGAGTAATTGTCATTGTACTGTGTTCCTATTATGAAATTAAGATCTGGAGAAACTGTATTTTCAAAGCATTCTAAGAGACCATGTAAATTTTCGATAAATCTAAAATAACTTTTGTTAGAAGTATTGTTCTATACATAGCTTAGGTCAGTAAAATTAAAACCCATGATTTGGATTTTTTCCTCTTTAAATTTATCATAAATTATTATAATCCGCTGGACTTACTAAAGTTTGCTAATTATATCCCATAGGGGTTTTGGGGTTTTGGGG